AACTCAGTATGTAGACCAGGCTGGCCTTGAACTGTCAGAGGGCCTCCTGCCTCTGCCTCCCAAGTGCTGGAATTAAAGGCATTTACCACCTTGTCCAGCTCAGTAAATATAAATCTTGTGCATCTTTGACTTTTTTCTTTTTAAAAATATAACATTCGTTATTTTAGATTGTGTGCATGTGTGTGTGCCTGGTCCCCGGAGATGTCAGAAGTGGCATTGGGCTCCCTGGAGCGGTGAGGCACTCGGTGTGAGTGCTGGGAACAGAACCTGGATCCTCTGTGCTCTCAGGTCCCAAGCCATCTCTCCAGAGCATCTCAGGATTCTTGTCCTTTGGGCAGATTCTCATGCGTTCATGGTGTTGTGTGAGCTGCCTCCCAGGCTGTCCCTGATTGAATAAAGCAGCTTCTGAAACTATAGAGTTGTTTTTTGTTTTTTTTAATTTTCAAATTTCTGAGTGAGTTCATTGACAATCTCATACTTTTGTACAGTGTTGTGTATGCTGTGTGGTATTGTTTGCCCTCTTCACACAACCTGGTTCCCCTCTCTCAGTCCTTTCCACTCCTAGATTTTCACAACAAATAATGGTGTAACCTACCCAGCACTTCAAGATATAATACATTTTAGCTTCATGAGAACTTGTTCAAAACACTTCAAAGATTCTCTTGAAAAGATGACTCAAAGGTTAAGTTTGCTTGCTGCTCTTCCTGGGAATGAGGATTTGCTTTCCCATACCAGTAATCACCCATAACTCCAGCTTCCGGTGATCTGACATTTTCTGTGGTCTCTGGGAAGACTTGCACAGACACACACTCATATACATAATTAAAAAGAAAATTTAAAAAGCCCTTTATAATTCAAAATAAGCAAGACGGTGGTGGTGCACACCTTTAATTCCAGTACTGGGGAGGCAGTGGCTAGCAGATCTCTGAGTTCAAGGCCAACCTCATCTACAGAGTGAGTTCCAGGACAGCCAGGGCCACACAAAGAAACCCTGTCTTGAAAAACCAATAATAATAACAAATAAAATTTACAGGCACAAAAATGAAGTCCCTCCAGAGGTTGGTAAACCCATGGACTTACCGCCCGCAGTGTGAAAAGGCAAAATTAGGTGGCAGATGAGTCACACGAGTGGTCTCCACTGCAGTGGAGTTCGTTTCTTCTCTCTTGAACAGTTTAGAACTAACCATGAGTCTGTGTGGTGTGCTGTACGGATGTAGCAGCTGTCAACTGCCTGGACAGCAATTCCTTCATTCTTCTTGCTTCATAATTAAGTCTGTCAGACATGCTGGGCCAACATGGTAGAGAGCTATTGGGTGACTGTCCAGGCAGCAACCTGTCCTTTGTATTTTTATTTATCTTGGAAGCCACTTGCCTCTACTTCCTGCTTATTCAGGTGATAATTTTAATTTTGTTACTTTCCAAGTCTCTGATGGGGTTGAAGACTGAATAGTTATAGTTGTACAATTAAGCTTAGTTGTTTAGGAGTTAAGTTGTTTTTTTTTTTTTTTTTTTTTTTTTGTCTAGATAGGTATTTTTAGGTTGATAGAGTTCAGGACTTTAGACTCACCAAGATAGGATAGATGTTGCTTTCTTCACGGTTGGCAAATACAGGTAAGTCAATGTAACTTTTATATACAGTTTTCCTGATTGCTTCATAATTGTTCTTACTGAAGGTAGTTTATCACACACACACACACACACACACACACACACACACACACAGCCTTTTATTTTTTATTGGACTAAAAGGCAGAATGTAGAGGAATATCTTGTGTGTTCTATGGATGTAGCAGCTGTCAATAAAAATCTGACTGGCCAATTAGCTGACTGGGCAGAGAAAGAGGAAGAGAGAAAGAGAAAGAGAGGTGGAAGGTGGGATTTCCTGAGAGAAACAGGAGGAAGGAGAAGGAGGAAGGCTTTTTGCCAGGAGACAGAGAGAGACAGACATGCCTGCATCCCGGGAGGCTAGCTGGCCACGTGGCTGATGAGGAAAGTGGGCAAGGTGCCATAGATGAGCTGGTTGAGAGTCCGCCCAGCCTGAAAAAGTCAAAAGGTCTTGGCGTTATTTCATGGTCTGAAGGTCTTTCTTTGCCAGGAGACATAAGCTGCCAGCCATCAACACTAGACCTTCTTACACCTTGTCCTTTTATTTTTGTTGCAGAAGAAATGATGGGATTGTTCTTGAGGTTTGTTAAAAGTTCCGAAGCCTCAGGTTCACCACCCATGTTGGAAGAAACCAAGAAGACGTTAACCCAATGAAGAAGCAGGCAGCACTTTGCACCCATCACTGGCTTGGGGTGGGAGGGTGACGGCCGCGGAACTCCAGGCAGACACTTCACAAGCCCCATTGTAGCCAGCCAGCTCCGAGGGTGGCCCCCAGGCTCCACAGTGGCCCCTGAGGCCATCACCTGCTAACTTCCCCAATCCCATCTCCATCCCAAGTGTCCACACTGAGCTTGCACACCGCCCACAGCTCCCTGTGCCCTCCGCATGGGTTCTTTTCCCATTCCTGTTTTGTTTGTTGTGTTTAAGGTGGACTCAGGCTGAGGCTAGTCAGGAGCTGAAAGTGGGCAGGACTCAGATGATTCCACAAAGGAGGGTGGGTGAATGGGATGACAGCCAGAAACCATCAACCCTTCTGGCAATACCAGCTGCTTACACATGACGGGCAGGTGCTCTATGCTGAGCCAAGTTCTGCTCCAATATGCAAGATTTTTAGAAAAGCACAACTCAGGATCTGATCTGGCTTTGTGTTGCCAGAGCAACTGCTGAGGAACTGGCCAGGTCTTGGTAAAAACAATATGGAGAACCAGAGCGGTGCAGCCAGTGGCGGCGGGTTACACAGCAACTTCACTGGGTTTTGTTTCAGGAGGAGTGTGCTGAGCACTAAGCTTGAGGAGCCCTAGTTCTGGAGGAGGACCCCAGTTCTCCCTCCACTGTAGGCAGGTCTTGAATTCTGAATTTGTTTGTGGTTGCTGTGGGACTCGAGGCCATCTCAGGTCATCCAGGCTGGCTCGGTACACACCATGAAGCCAAGGCTGACACTTGGAGCTTCAGCTCCTTCCACCCTCATGCTAGGATGACTGACTGGAGTGTCCAGCAGGTTTCTGCATTGTTCCTGGAGCCAGCCAAGCCTGAAGCTGACTCAGCCAAAGGAACTTAACTGCTTCCTGCCTGGCGCAGGCTGGGCTCCGTTTCTCCTGGTTCTTGACAGGGCCTCTGCTGCCCCAGAGCCACCAGGAATGCGGCAGGCTCTTGGCCTGAGCTGCAGATGCCAAGATCAGCAGGGGAGATGGACTCAGCCCTGTAGGGGAGGCCCCACCTGGCCCTTTGAGACAGTCAGCAGGAGTGGGGGTGGGACATGGAGAAAAGGAGAGGGAGGCCTGGGCTCTATGCTCTGTCCAGGAGGGCAGCAACCAGGTCTTGAGGAGGGTCTGGAGTGAGAGTCTTGGGTGAGTCAGCAGGAGGAGCTTCTAAAATTCCTGCTCAAAGCACCACAGGATAAAGCTGCTGAGAACAGAACAGCCAGGGGCCTGTGCGTGCAAAAATGCTAAAAAAAATATTGGGAGATTGAAGTCAGCTGTGCTGCGAAGGACACCATCTGGGGGAGGGGTGTGTGTGGCCTGCAGCGTTTCCATTCCCGGGACCAGAGGCCTGGACCATTCACACTCAAACACAGAGGAAGACAAATTCCCGAAGAGCAGCCTCTGTGCTAAGGAGCCTGATAACATCCAGCAGCCTTTGTGCTAAAGGAGGAATGCGGTGGGAGGTAGGGGATGAGGGAGACTGGGCTGTGGGGCCAGGGAGTGGATAGGGCTGACTGCAGGAGAGGCAGGCCGAACTGGGTGAGACAGGGATGGCAGCTGGTGCTGCTGTAGAGGTGTTTGCTATGGAGATATGGAAAAAGAAGAGGCCAGATTGAAACAGAAACGGGACAGGCGAGAGGGTTCAGTAGGTAGAGGAGCCTGCTGCCAAGCTGAGAACCAACTTCTGCAAGCTGTCCTCTGCCTCCCTGTGCTGCTGCATCGCTGTGATTGCATGCACACACACAAAACACACACCTTTGATGCCTTTGATCCCAGCACTTGGGAGGCAGAAGCAGGTGGATCTCTGAGTTCAAGGCCAGCCTGGTCTACAGAGTGAGTTCCAGGACAGCCAGAGCCACAGAAAAACCTTGTCTTGGAAAACCAATAAACCTTTAAATATAAATTAAGTAAGTATGGGAAGTGGTGGGGTCCAGGAGGGGAGAGGATGTAGGAGGCTCAGGACCTTCTTGCTTGACAAACTGAACGCTGGGCAGGTGGAGGCGGGAGGATCAGGTAGTCAAGGTCATCCTATCCTGAGCTGTAGAGCATGGGGGGCCAGCCTATCTAACATTACTTCATCCTGCTCCCCAGATTAAACACGCTGTAGCCATAGGAGCCAGCCAGGTCATGGCCACCCGAGAAATCAATTTCCCAGGAAAAAAGGCAGTGGGGGGGTTCGGGGCATGGCTTCCAGGACCACGCATGCGTAGGGCCCCACACATCCTTCTGTTTGAGCTGAGCAGCGGGAGCTCAGGCTGGTCTTTCCCATGCTGGGAACAGAGGCTCTGGCACACACAAACAGCCCAGGTCATGACAGCCGTCCACTCAGGTGTTTGCTGTCCTGTGGTTTTGAGACAGGACAACATGCCATAGCCCAGATGAGTCTGGAACTCGGAGCACCCTCCTGCCTCAACTGTCTGAGGTCTGGATCACAGGTGTGTGCCACCACAGCTGGCTTGCTCCAGCAGAATCGTCAGCTTACAGTGTAAATGCATCTACCTGTAGAATTTTCCTACACTATTTGTCTGGCAACCATCACTCCAACCGAAAGCCATATATATTCACTAAAAGAATTTTTTTTTTTTTCAAAAATATGTTCCATCCATGGGTTCATGGAACACACAGATATGGAACCGGATACTGACATCAACTGATTATGTCACACACCATTGAACAGACACATGTGAACACCCACAGCAATTTTATTTGTTGTTCACAAAAGTTGGAAACAATCTAGTGATCCACCCACTGCGAATGGATGGCACATTGTGGTATGTCCTTATAATGGAATACTACTTGGCAACAAAAAAGACTGAAATATTGATATACACAAAAGCAGGGAGTGACAGCTAGACAGCAGCCAGAATACCTTAAGACCCTGTGTCAAAAAATAAAAACGGATGTCTAGGTGACTAGTTCAGCAATAGAGTGCTTGCTTAGCAGGTGCGAAGCCCAGGTGGAGAGGGTGGAGAGGGCGGGAGGTGGTGTTTATGGGACCTCCTGGAAGCTGTAACAAGTTAGCAGAGGTTAGGTGGCTGATCCCAAGAAGAAACATGTTCTCTGATATTCTGCAAACCTTCAGTACAAACTCCAGGAACCTTGTGAGGGCTCTGAAAATCTGTCCCTTGGCACTTCCCGGAGGCTCCAGCAATCCTTGGGGCTCGGTGTCCTGTAGACACCACATTTTCCCCTTTGCCTTTCTTTCCCCAGTGTCTATGTCCCCTTCCACTGTTTAAAAAATAAACTTTGTGTTTGTGGACATGGAACTCTGGGCCTACTGTGTCCTGGGCAAGCCCTTTACCGAGGAGCCCCCCTGCCAGCCCAGATTACCTATATTTGTTTTGGAACAGGGTTTTCCGTAGCCTAGGCTGGCCTCAAATACACTATGTAGCTGGGGAGAACCTTGAACTCCTGACCCTCCTCCCTCTACCTCCCCGGTGCTGGGGTGATAGCCTTCGGTTTCTCTGCCCATGAAATGGAAAAACCCCACAGCCTGGAGAAGCTGGGCATTCTCGGCCTCCAACCACAGCTCTACAGGGTTCCGAAGGTTTCAGAAGTTTTTCTTTGTGGCTGGAGAACCAACCCTCTTGGTTTGTGTGTGGGTGGGACACAGGGATTTCCAGGGTGGGGCCTGTGTCAGCCAAGCTTCTGAACAGGCTCTGAAATGGTCACTCAGAGAGGAGGCTGCTGGCCCTTGGCCTCCAATTGGCCCTTTGGGGCCCTGCCCTCAGAGGTTGGTCTCAAGAGCTTGCGCTGGGAACAGTGGGTGGGCCTCGTCCCCTGGCCGGAAGCCAAGGGGCTTCTTGGTCGCAGCAGGAATGTCTTCCGAACCCTGGGAGAAATTGGAGGACATCACACACCCGTCCCAGATGGGGTCCCTGAGGACTAGATCAGCTATGTGCAAGGTGGCCCAGGCCCCCTCCATTAGCATCAGTTGCTGCCCAGGCTAGCCTTGTAACTGAGGCTAGGCTCATTCTCCTGATCCACCTTCCAGGTACTCTACCAAGCCCCAGCCCCAGTTCTATTCTATATTTTTGATACTGGGCCTCTCTCTGTATCCCACTGTAGCCTCAAACTTGCAGTGATCCTCCTGCCTCAGTGCTGGGATCACCACTGTGACCACACCCACGTTCATTTTATTTTTATGTCGCGGGTGTGGGTGTTCTGCTAGCGAGTCCTGTGCGCGCCTGATGCCCTGACACCCAGGCACTAGAGTGAGGCGATTATGGGCACCCTGTGGTACCTAAATGGACCTCAGTGGGCCCGCTGTGTCACGGTTGCTTGAAACAGGCTTCCATGGGGCCCAGGCAGGCCTCAGGCCTGCTAAAGCTCAGGCGGCCTTGAACTCCTAGCCTGGCATTGCACATTCCTGTTTTTGGTATCACCTGCTGGAAAGCCTCTTCTTTCTTCGTGTCGCTTTCTTGACCTGAGGTGACAGCCTTTCCCACTTTCAGGTCACAGGCTCTGCAGTCCCTGGCCTCGGCTCCAGCCTAGCTCTCCCTCTCCCCGCTTCTTATGTAATTCTGAGTTAAGTAATATTATCTTAAGAATATTCTTCATAAGTGGTGTCTCTTTTGAGGGGAAACCAGTTTCCCCAGCCACAGGCAGGAAATAATTGTTTAAAAAAACAGATATGATAAAAATAGACAGTGCTCATGTGTGCTGGCCCCTGGGAAAGGGATAGCTTTAACCACAGAGTGGAATCTGCCCAGCCCCTGAGGCCACACCCACCAGGTCCCCATGCCTTGGCCCCAGTGGCCAATACTGGATCTGACCTTCATTAAACTGTCCTCCAGGGTGACGGTGTCCTCCTTCGGGGCCACAGATGCTGTCTGCCGAGCAAGGTCCCACCACAGCAGTCCAGGGCCCAGGGAGCTGCGCTTGGTGGGGCCTGAGAGGTAGGGAGGGTGGGGACTTAGGGTGGGTTCTTGCCAGCCCTTATGCCAGCCATGGCTGCCCACTCAGTCTGACTGAGTTGCTTTACCTGCTGTGTAAGGAGTCAAGTTGGTTTTAGTGTTAGGCTATTTTTCTCTTCTGAGACATTCTCCAGCTACATCTCATTTGTTCTGGTACTCATGGCAATCCTCCTGCCTCTGCCTCCTGAATGTTGGCATAAGTGGTGGGTGCCATTGGCTCAGCTGGCTAGGAGTGTCCACCATTCCAACCACTTACTGTTTCAACCCTAGTGTCTCAAAGTTCGGCAAAAGCCTGAGGGCATCAAGTCACTAAATCAGAGGAGGAAGGTGGCTGCGGCTTTGGGTTGGTCATCAAAGGGCTAGGGCTCAGTGGGTAAGGTCTGTTCTGTGTATCCCCAGAACAACAACAACAACAACAACAACAAAAAGCAGGTATGGTGGAGCAAGTGCTGAGGAGCAGGTGGGAGAGGAGGCTGCTAGGTCTGCCTCAGCTACAAGAGGAGTGGGAGGCCAGCCTGGGCTAAATCAGAGCCTGTCTCAAAAGGAAATGCACGACTAAGAGAAGAAAGCACGTGGGGTGGTGCTTTCCAAGCACTCAGAAAGCCTAGGCAGGGAGATTGTCACGAGTCAGAGGGTCAGCCTGTAACACAGAGTGAGACCCTATCTCAAACCCAAGCACAAAAGATTTTTGGCAACACAAACAGGCACCTCCCCAAGCTGAGATTTGTTTCAGGACCACGGACAGCGCCCCGCATCCCCTCGCTGTAGTAAGGGCTCTCTGGAAGGAACCTGCCTCAGTTCCCGCGTCTGCAAAATAGACCTGGCCTTGCGGGGCGCGGGGTGCCTCGAGGATGACGCAAATGTGCCAGCTCTCAGCCCGGGGAGAGCCTCTTCTAGCTCTCCCTTTGGGAAGCCGGAGGTGGAGGCAAGAGGATGAAAGGTTGAGCCCGAGGGAGGCCGCTGCACTTACCGGTTAGGTAGCTGATGATAGCGCCACAAAGCACAGTGGTCAGCGTGCCCAGAGCCCCGTAATAGAGATAGGATATGGCATAGAAGGTGGCGGCGAGGGTAGGGCGGCCTGCGTCCATCCCAGAGCTGGGGTGAGAGAGGAAGGTGTGACATGCCTTCTTCCCCCGTCTGTCTAGCAGCCCACCGGGCCCTGCTTCAGCCATCCGTCAGATATGGTGACTTGCGCAGAAGCCAGGTCTCACCGATTTCCGCTACAGCCTGCCACCCTTCGTGGCTGCCCATTGATCTTGCAATTAAATGAAACTGAATACTTAGAAAGAAATCTTGTCACAACCTCCACAGCTGTCCATGAGGAAGGAAGCTCCTAGGAGCACAGAAATGTCAACAGGACCCGACCAAGCCTCGGAAGGTTTCAGATGGGCACGGAGCTTGCTTTAGCATTTTCTATTCTTTCTCTGTATTTTCCTAGAAGTAACCCAGGACCTCTGCCATGCTAGGAAAGTGCTCAACCACGGAGCTACATGCCAGCTCAGGCCTGTTTTTGAGACAAGGTTGTTACAGACTCCTGCGTGTTGGGAGAGAAGCCTGCACACACACTCGGCCTTGTGCACGAAGGTTCACTGAAATTCTGTTCACTACAGCCCAACCCAGACACCACCCACATGTCCATCAACTGACGAGCAGTTACCACACATGGAAATGGTATATCCATTCAAAGGAATATTACTCAGCCATGAACGAGAAGGAAGCAAAGGCATGTGCTCCAATCACAGACAATCACTGATGAACTTTCAAAACAGGGTGAGACACAAAAGCCAACATATTCTAGATTTTGTTCACAGGGAAAGCCCAGTACAGGTAAACCAACAGACTTAAAACATGGATCCTCAAAGAAAAAGAAAGAAAGAAAAGAAAAAAACAAAGAATGAAAGGGCACACTGGGATCCAGGACCTCTTTGGCTACATACAGAGTTTTGGGGCCAGCCTGGGCTACATGAGTCTATCTCAAAGTACTAGAATACAAAAAATAAAAGCAAAAGTGAGTCAGTTCCTTTGCCTTTGGCCTCTGCCCTTCTGCTAGGTGCCACTCGCTTCCCTGTGGCCTCTGAACTGGAATGTGGCCGGATGGCCTTTGCACAGATGGGTTTTTTGTCCTCTATCAATGCTCCCCTTCCCCCTGCTGGCCTTGGTCCCAGTCCCTTCCGGTTAACAACCTGACATCACACCCTGGACCCCGACACCCGGTTGCTCACCTGGGGCCCCCGCTGGAGGCGTTGGCGGCTCTGGATGGGCCAAGGAGGAGGGAGGCGTTGGTGCACCCTGCGGCCGAGGTGGGCAGCACCCCCATGGTCTGCTCTCCGGGCGGGTACAGTGTGGCCCCCACGGCCACCCACAGGGATATAGCCAAGCCTGCTGCCAGCCCAGAGAGGACGCCCTGGGGGCAGAGTCACCATGAGGGAAGGGGTTCCTCGACCAAGCTTCCTACAGACCACGCCCACCGCCTTCCCCACTCACAGGCGTGTTACAGGCTGGGAGCAGCATCCCCAGCGTGAAGGCTCCTAGCAGAGGCCCACTGATGACGCCCATCACGGTGAAGGAGCCCTGCCAGGCAGGTGGAGAAGGGCTAGGCTTAGCCACCACCTCTCGGGACTCAGTTTACTCTATGGAATCCCACTGCAGGTCTTGAGACTGCTCTGCCCAGTTTCCTCAATCCTGTTTCTCCCCCAAGGCTGATAGACAGTGATGGTCTTACATGTGCCTTAGACCTCTTTATGTAGCTAGGGCTTGCTTTGAAGCCCTCTTCTGCCTGGCTCAGTGCCAAGCCTCCCCTCCCCCCAGTGTTCCCAGTGGACTGAGCATCTCCCTGAGGTTCAGCTGGTGTTGGGGGTACAAGGCAGGCGGGGTTGGGGTTCTTACCTGGAGGACACCGCCTCCCAGCAGCGAGGACAGAGCAGCCACGGAGAGGCAGGCTGAGCCGTAGATGAATGCTGTGGTGGAGGGATAGCACAATCAGTGTGGGGTACCATCATGGCCCGAACACCAGCCCCCCCAAACTCACATAGCCCTTTAGAGATGTAAACCAGCTTCCGAGGTGCCAGGCCAGGCATCCTTGGCTTGACAAGGTCTTCCACGGTGACGGCTGCCATGGCGTTGATACTGGTGGATGCGGTGCTGTGGGAGGAGAACAAGGGAAGCACCTCAGGACACAGGACACATCAGACAGCTGGGCAACCCTCTGCCTGGGGCCATCTCCCATAGGCGATGGATGGACCCAGAACATGACATGCTCCCAGGGGATGATGGCCAGTCAGGAAGGGCAGAGCTCCTGAGGGCCGAGCCACAGCTGTGGGGTGAACGGAGCACCCACCTGAGGGTTCCACTGTAGGCACAGGCCAGAAAGAGCCCGGGGACTCCCGGCAGGTCCTCAAAGATGTCCAATACGAGCAGCGGCATGTACTGTGGGACAAGGACAGTGGTTTCTGGTTTTGGTTTTGGTGTATTGGGCGGGCCAGCCTTGGCTACATAGTCAGTCACAGGTCAGCCTGAGCTACATGAGACCCTGTCTCAACAACCCCTTACCCTCCTGTTAGTGACTGTTAGTTGAGATGTTCGTCTTGCCTGCTCACACACTCACTATGGCCCCCACAAATCACCTCCCTGCCTCCCCCACCCTGTCCTCAAGATGTCTTTCCAGGCTACACCTTCTGGGAGAAATGCTTTTCCAGCCCCACCTGGTGGAGGGGAGAGGGAGAGAGTTTGATGTGAGTGAACTCACCTGGTCTGGGGCTGAGATGCGGCCTGTGAGGAGGGGGTCACACTGTTTGTAGTACACGAACATGACAACGCCACAGCAAGCCGCGCTGGCCACAATCAGGAAGAGACCCAGCTGGTTGACAAGCAGGGCCCTAGAGAACACGGTGGCCTTAGGAGCGGGGATGAAGGGGCAGCCGGTCCCACGAGACTCCACGTGGGTCCCTCACCTGCATACTCACAGCTTGGCCTTTCTCTCTGTGCGGCAGGCCACATAGCGCTGGACCTGGGCTTGGTTCACACCGTACATGGAGAGCCACACCAGTGTGCCACCCACCACAAAAGTCCAGAAGGTATAGCGGCTCCGAGGGTCGGGGTCAAAGCTGGGGAGGGAGGGAGACAGCTGGCAACCTCATGAGGGTGTCATGTCACCCTCCCCAGGTCACCCACGCTTGTTCTAGGTCCTAAGCGGACATCTGCGGAGAGTTTTGAAGTGTAAGTAGGAGTTTCTATGTTGAGTTTTGCTTCCCTCTGACACCTGTGCATGGGGGTGGGGTACTCAGAAGCTATCATTCCATGATCATAGTACTGGGAGGCTGAGGGAAAGCTGTGGGGCTGCCTGGCCTGCAGAGTGAGGCCCCATCTCTCACTCCATCAGGTTGATCCGGGAGTGGTTCTGAGCGAGCCTGAGCACGTTCCAGGGGCCCCCCATGAGCATGGTGCCTCGGGCCAGGATCACCCAGAAGCCAAGGAGCATCACCACGACCTGGAACACGTCTGTCCAGACCACGGCCTTCATACCGCCCTGTGTGGGAGAGGCAGCACAGTCACAGGCCTGCCTGGGGTGAGAGGCAGAGACACCTGCTCACTCTGCGATGCTTCCTGTGTCACAGGGAGCCACAGTCCCCTTCCTGAGCTTCCCCACCTGGAAAATAAGGTTAGTGTACTGTCCCATGGTTGGCTGGAGGATTAAACAAGATGATGGGTGAAAGGTTGTAATGGCCCCAACATAACAGCGAATATTTCAATACCCGTTGTTAGCAGTGTCCGTGTGTGTGTGTGTGTGTGTGTGTGTGTGTGTGTGTGTGTGTGTGTTTAGGACTATGTAGCCCAGGATGGCCTAGAACCTTCCAGCCTCCAGCCTAGGCCTCCCTAGGGCCGCTGTGACTGGAGCCTGGTGGCTATGCCTGTTTTCACAAACTGTGATTTCTCCCTGCCTTTTCCTGCCATTCACAGAGAGCTGAGCCTCCGGCTCCAGGAGCAGCAACCAGAACATGCCAGCCCCCCAGGTGGCACGGCCAATCTTGGAACCCGGAGAAGAGCAGGCCAGAGTCTCAGCCAGCTCCAGCTGAAACCAGTTAACTGCTGGGCAGGAGCCAAGAAAGGCAGAGGCTCAGATCACGGGAAGGCAAAGCCCAGGAGGACTGCCGGATCCAGCCGCACCTGAACTAGTGAGCCTGTCTGTCAGTCGTTATGTGGGAGAGGCCATGGGGGCCAGCTGGGCAGGGCTAGCTCGGGATTTAGGCAGCTGGGTGGTGCTGCCTGCCTGGGCTCTCCACGGGTCAGCGGCCACTCACTCACCACGGTCGTGTACACGGTGCAGATGATCCCCGTGGACAGGAGTGAGGCCCAGATGTCTAACCCGGTCACTGCAAAACACACCTTCTGTTAGGCCTCTTATCCTGCCTGCTCACGTGGGGTCCAGCCTGGACTACTAGGCTCCCACCCCTCTCCCGCCCGCCAGTCAGACCTTGGTTGAGGATGAGCGCCGGCGCGTAGATCACGATGCCAGTGTACAGCATCTAAGGGTAGGGAGGGCCCGTGAGAGCAGGGGGCGGGGCCAGCAGGAAGAGGGCGGGTTCAGGCAGGGAAGCGGGGAAGCCAGGATACAAGAGGGCGATTTTTAGGTGGGATAGTGGTGGAGCTGGGCAAAAGGGTGCCCCTAGGCAGGAGAAGGGTGGACCCATGGGCGTGATCCCGGTAGGTCCCACGGAAGCTAAGCTCACTCTGGGCAGGGGCGGGGCCAGACAGGATAGGGGCGTGGCGTGAGGGCAGGTTGGGGCGGGCTGTGACAGGGGCTAGCGAGGGCGTGGCTGGTTGGGCCCCGGGCTCACCGTGGCCGCCAGGTACTGCAGCGTCCCGCAGAGCCGCACCGCTCGGCTGAAGCGCAGCTCTAGGTACTGCAGAGGGAGCCAAGGGCTGGAGGTCAAGCGGCCCCTCGGCCCCTCTCATTGTTCTTACTCTCTCCCGGGTGCCCAGCTCTGCGCTGACACAGAGTAGGACAAGCCGGCTTGCAACTCGCAGCAGTCCTCTGGCCAGCGCTTCGCTAGTGCTGAGTTGTCAGGCCTGGGCCTTCAAATTGTCACTACCTTTGTTGGACGATTGCAAGATGTCCAGTTGCGCCTTAAGATTTGAAACTGGGGTCTCTCTAGTGAGTCCAGCTTGCCTGGAGCTCACGACAATCCTCCTGCCTCAGTCTCGCTAGCGCTGAGAGTGCCACCCCGTTTTCACTACAGCTGTTGGACGGTTGGGAAACCCTGGGGGCCCTGCGCCACGCTGCGGGCGTTTGAGCCAGACAGGCGCGGGTAGGCGGCCTGTCCCGGGCGCGCGCGGGGACGGGTCTCGGCGGAGGCCACCGCCCCGAGGCTGCTCCGAGCGGTGGGACCCGGACTCGCTCTTCCTCCTTCCTGGCCCCGCCCGGTGCCCGCGGCATCTTCCCGGAACCGTCCCGCGGGCCCCGGCCCCTACCTGGTAGGTGCTGGTGAGGCCCAGGCGGTAGAAGATGGGCAGGAAGAGCAAGGCGGTGAGCAGCGAGTTGAGCAGCTGGCCCGCGCACATCCACAGGAACTTGAGGCCGTAGCGCGACGCCTCGGCGGGGACCCCGAGCACTTGCACGGCCGACATGAAGCTGGCGGCCAGCGACAGCCCCACGGGCACGGCCGCCAGCTGCCGGCCGCCGGTGAAGAAGTCCTCGGCGCTGCGCTGGCCGCCGCGAGCCAGGCCGACCCACAGCCCGATGCCCGTGGACACCAGCAGCATGGTCGCGAACACGCCGTAGTCCCAGGCGCCGAAGGTGGCCCGAGCCCTGGCCGCGCCCTCCATGGAACGGCGCCTGGCGCGCGGGGATGCGGGACGTGGGGAGCGGCGTGGAGGGTCCCCTTGCTCTGCGCGCCGCGGATTTATTGGGCTCCGGGGTGAGGGCGGCTCCGCCCCCGCCGGGAGGAGGGCGCGACCCGCACCCTTTCCGTCCTGGCGAGCGGGGCTGCCGGGCGCGGGCGGCCTCTTGGCTCCGGACGCTCGCTCCCACACCCAGCCCTCGTGTAAGGTGGTGGACACACGGGGAGGGCGACGGAGGGGCGAGGCCTGCGCTCACCCGGCTTCGGTGCGGAGCGACCCTCCGTCAGCGGGGTCCGCCTCTCTCCATGGTAGGGTCGGGAACTGGCCAGCCTCGCCCTCTGGCTAACCCGGTAGGGGTCACTCGGGTCCTTCTAGCTTCTCCCTTCTGGTTAAGACTCAGTTTCCCCACCTGTACAATGGGAGTCCGGCCGTGCCGTGTGCGTGGGAGTTTGAGGCTGAACCTCATGCAGCCCAGGCTGGCATGGAGTCCTGACCTTGCCTGGGCAGCGAAACACGAGCATGCACACCTGGCCTAGCTCTCCTCCCTCTTCCTGCTTTCTCTTCTTTCCTTCCTTCACACAGGCTGGTCTGGAAGCTGTGGCAATCCTTCTGCCTCAGCTTCCCTAGTGATGGGATGACAAGTGTGGGCCACCCGGCCTGCAAGCTCATTCGCTCGTTTTTTGGGCGCCTGTTTCTCCCTTCAGAACAGAAGCTTGCTAGCAGTGGCTTTCGAGAGGCCCAGGACTGACGCGGGCCCGGAGTGATGTAAGCTGTCACCGTGGGACCCTTCCCTGTTGAACTGGCTGGCTGGTGTGTCTGGGATCGATTCCCTCACTACATGTTTTGGGTGGCCTAAGGCGAGAGCCCCCTCCTGGTGTCACGGGGAATCTGAGGCAAGGCCCACGTCAAAGGGCCGGTGGAGGCATTCCCCAAGCCTTGGTGACTGGATCACGGACACTGGGGGGGGCCACTGAAGACTTTGACCCCGATGGCTTTAAGGTTTTGAAATGCTTCAGAATGGGTAGAGCTAAGGCGAGATGGAAAGGGCATGAGGCAGTTCATTTCGGAGCCGACCTGGAGTAAGGAAGCAGGGGGGAACAGGAGAGGGGAAGCCTCCCAGGACTGCTGGCTCTGCAGGCAGGCCCAGCGGGGAGCAGCATGGACATGTGCCCAGTGCTCTGGCACCAGGCCCTTATGGCTGCTTGTGCGCTCAGGGAAAGTGCTTATGCCCCCTGCCTCACCCCAACACTTGGAGAGACACGGTTTATCTGTACAACAGACTCCTGGCAGTTCTAGAAATCACTCTGTAGACCAGGTTAGCCTCAAACTCAAAGCTCTGCCTGCTTCTGCCTCCCAAGTTGCTAAGATAAATGGCGTGTGCAAAAAGCCTGCCAAAAGGTTGTCAAAGGTTCAGGAGAACATTCATGAGGTCAGGCCAAGCCAAGCCGTCTAAGACGAACTTAGGTGAGGGGTTAGCTGCACATGAATGCAGGAGCCAGCAGAGGCCAGGGGCACTGGATGGCCCAAGGCAGTCACAGATGTGGGCCTAATACAGGTAGAGTCCAAAGCAGCAGCAGCGCTAGCCACTGCACTGCATGCCTCTTACATTGCTTATTTCTGCTAGGCAGGGCCAGTCATCAGTAGTGGGGCAAAGGCTGTAGCTAAAGCCTTTTATCTTTTGGTGCTGGAGAGATGGCTCAGTGACAAGTGCAGTGCCTGTGGGCCAGCCCCCCCAGGGGCTTCAGTTGTCCTGACACTACCTCACTAGCCTTTCTCCAGGAGACAAGTCTTGCCAATGGTCACAGTACACTTAGGCGTCACTCGGCTGCCAGCAGGCAGCCCAGACACTGGTGTGGCTGGCACTAATAGACCCCTTCAAAACCCAGCACCTAGGTGGTCAAGGGTAAACCCAACCCAAAGGAACCCTGTGCTCCATCCAGCTAGTCTTAACACCAGCACCCTCCTTGGGAAAGAGTGACTCTGGTCCTCATCTAAGCCTGGAGGCTTAGTCAACTGTCCCCAGACACCCCACCCCCCGTGGCCGGACTGGCCTCACTCCAGCTCAACAGAGGCTTAGGGCTCAACCAGGTCCCAGGGTGTGATTATGCCTGGAATTCTCAGGCCTGAGCCAGCACCCTGGAGACCGCAGAAACAAACCCCACCATGTCAAAGTCAGACACAAGGCTTAGCACACAGAATCTGCAGCAGGGAGGGAGGACCTGGGGCACACAGCGATACAAAGAGGCTTGAGTGCGGCCACCTGGGACCTCCTCAGGGACAGAATCAAACAAGCAAGGGAGGACGCTCAAGACTTTTATTCTGCGGGTCTCTGGGTCTAGAAGAAGGTGTTGGGCCTCTTGGTGGTGAAGCGCGGCTTGTGCTGGCGCCGCAACACACGGTGGGGCAGCGGGAACTTTATCTTGGAGTCCTGTGTGGAGAAGGGACAAATGACTAGGGATCGCCCAGGCGCAACCACCCCCCACAGCCCTGCGTCAGCCCCCACTTGAGGCCACTCACGTGGAACTGCTTGACAGCTGGCCGGCGACACTTGCCCGCTGCAATCTCTTCCACCTTCATGATCTGGATGGAGTGCGCGCGGGCACGGTGCCGGGCACCCATGTCACGGTCTGTGGAAAGAGACGGAAATCAGCCCTATCCTCCCGAGGGTCCTCAGAACTGTAGAACCTCCTGATTCACTTTGGGGGGCACTGCACAGCCCCCCAAAGGCGACGAAGCCCCTTTGCTGTGCGCACCACTGCTTAAACGGCCACTACAGGCAGTGGCAGCTCTTGGGTTGGGTGCCAGGCTGGCAGGGGGCTGGAAACTCACAGCACTGGGTGACCGCACCAGCGGTGGTCAGGTCCCGGTACTCTCGGTACATGTTGTGTGTACCGCTGCGGGAGTCGTAGCGCAGCCAGATGCCGAAGTTCTTCACCCGTAGCGGCGACTTCTCAAACACCTGTGGGTAACGGGGTGGCTGTGAGGCACACTGCCCTGGCTCTGACAGTGCCCAAAGACTGTCCCCCTGTGGAGGCCCAGGGCGCACCTGCCCGCAGTACACAATCTCCCCGGATGATTTCTTCATCTTCTTCAGCTGGGACACGAAGTACCAGAACCGGGACTTGGCCACCACATGGTTGGGTGCGAAGATGCGCATTCGGTACAGGGGTGGTGTGTGGCACTTTGGGGTGGGCAGGCAGCGCCCCACCACTTTATACTCCCGAAGCTGAAAGACATGTCACCGGTGGAGGCTGCTGGGTTATGGAGGCAGACGCGGCCTGGTACCCATTACTCACCCCACAGGCAGGGTGCCCAAGCTGCCCCTCCGTCACCCTGCTTTTCCTGGATACATAGTGTGCCCAGTTCCTAAGCTGGACTCCACCCTGTTTCACTTTCCAAGAGCCCAGGGGCAGCCACTTCAGAATAATCATGCCGTGCTGTGGATCTGCCTCAGTTTCCCCAGCTCCAGCATCTAGTTCACATGCAGGTAGCTGGGCACTCTGTCCTCCCTGAAAACTCTAAGCTAGCAGTGGTTGCGCATGCCTTGAATCCCAGAGCAGGAGAACCTTGAAGCTAGCCTGTTCCGCAGTTTCAGGGCAGACAGCACCACACAGATGTCTTTGGGTGGGGAAGATCGGGTGCCAAGAGCTGGGATGGCCCCTTTCCTGTATGTCTCACAAGCAGACAGGAAGGCCACTGTCTGGAGAGCAAACCTGATGTGTGAGACCCCACACCTTAGTTTACAATTTGCTTTTTGTTCTTCCCAAGTATGAGGCAGCCCATCATGTCCTCCAATTTGGAACTAGATAAAGACGGCTCAAGTGACAGGCCTGCCTCTACCTCACCCACTGCGACATCAAGTATGGGGAAGCAGACTCGCTGAACTCAAGAGCTGGGCGCAGGAGACCACAAAGGAACAGCTCGGCCTACCCGAGTACCGCAGACTAGCTTTACATTTGAAGATGGGCTCTCATCCTCTTGAACTCTCCAGACGTGCTGCGAAACTCAGCAGCCGTAGCCTGTATTTCTTGAACACTAGAACTCGCGATAACCATCCTGCGTCGGCTTGCTAGGGGCTCCTACCACAGTGAGTGCCACTGTAACACCAATGTTCTCCCCTTCTCGGACGAGAGGATCTTGGAGGCCCCTCCCTCAACTACTAGCCTGCCGGGGTACCCCGATCTACGCGGCTCCGCCCGCGTCTGCTCAGCACGAGGCGGCCGCCATGTTGGCGGCGAGGAGGCCGTGCGCGCGGAGAGCCGCCCGCGACCGGGAGCGCGGCCCGGCGGCCGCCCACAGCGCCATCCCGAGTCACACGGGCACCCCGCGTGGCCACGCCGCCACGCCGTGACCCCAGCCGCACCGCTGGGGTCCTTACCGTGCCCGACGCCTTCATGGCAGTCCGTCCAACTCCGCCGCCACTCACAAAAGGAAGTGTTGCTTTTCGCGCAGGCTCTCACCATGCAGTCTGTGGCGGAAGTCCCGCCCTCCAGACACCGAGCGCTCATTGGACACAGAGCCTAGCGCTCTAAGAGCTTAGATTCTTTATTGGCTACAGATCGGTACGAGAAGCCCCGCCTCTTCTCGGGGTGACTACAAGTCCCAGGAGGGGGCGGGACACGCTTTTGCACATTTCTCCGGGTCGGGTCCCAGCGTCTGCGCACTGGGAATGTAGCGTAACGGCGGCTTCCAGTTCGGGTCCACCGTTCTTTCCTTTGTCTTCGTTTATTTCTCTTTCTACACCATCTCTTTGTGTATATACCCATCTAGCCCCCATTACCTACCTAGTCATCATTTTTTAGAAATTGTTTCATTCTTAAACCCGTGTGTGGGTGTTTGCCTGCGGATGCCGGAAGAGGGCGTATGGTGCTGGAGTTAAAGTTGTGAGCCGTGAGGCGCTTGCTGGGTCTCGAACCCGAGTTGGTGCTCTTAGTTGCCGCGTTTTCTCTCCAGCCTCATCTATCTTTTTATCTGTCATCAGTTTATTTTGTTGTTTGTTGGGACAGGATTTGTGTTCCCCAGACCAGCCTGTAACTCACTGTAATTCTCCTGCCTCAAGTTCCTGATTGTAGTGATACGGGAGCGTGCCAACCGCCGACCCAGTAGCTGTTCTCTTCATAGAATTGTAGCAGAATTGTACCGCGCTACCTCCTTGCCCTTTTCCTGGCCAGCTTCCCTTCCGGTAGGGAAACGGGCGACAATATCCGCTGTCTTCGCTAGAGGGCGTGCGCCCTCCTTTGGCTCAGCTGCTGGGCTGACTTATCTGGGCTGCTGTCTCCCGTTGAGCTTGAGTGTATACAAGTGTGGGGCCTCAGTTTTCCCAACCCCTCCCCGGTCCATAGGATAGTTGTAAGATTTAGAAATTGGGCGTGGTGATGCATGCCTGAGGTCTTACGTCTTACAATGGGAAACGCAGGCAGGAGGCTCACGACAGAGGGCCTTGGCTACATAGCAAGTCTCCTCCCGCCCTCCCCCTCCCTCACACCCCGAAATAAACAGCATATGATCATGTGTGCAGCCGGCAGGCTACGACACAATGTCTCCCTTTGCCGGGCCACACTGTTGCACACATACTGCGCTCTGTAGGCTGCTGAAGAGAGGTAGACACATTTTGTAAGATGCAGGCAGATCCTGAGATGCCGGGGGAGGGCAGGGGAGGGACAGGGTCATGGTGAAGAAGGTGGTATCCAGGCCCAGTCTTAGTTTTTTGTTTTGTTTTGTTTTTAAATTTATTTTTCTGTACATTTGGTGTTTGGCATACATGCATGTCTGTGTGAGACAGTTGGATCCACTGGAATTTGAGTTACAGGCAATTGTGAGCTGCCATGTGGCTGCTGGAAATTGAACCAAGGTCCTCTGGAAGAGCAGCCAATGCTCTTAACTGCTGAGCCATCTCTCCAGAACGAACCCTAGCCTTAGTCTCGAGCTGGGCCTTGGTGTGAATTGCCAGTCTACAGGCTGTGTGCACGAGCCCGGCAGCTGGTGATGGGGAATGTGACAGGTGTTGGAATTCCACCCGTTGTTTTGTAGATGTTCACTTTGGCCTCTCCTGGGTGCAATAGGCTCCAGCCTGAACAGACCTCCTGCTCCAACTGGCTTCACTCTTGGGGGCTGTGAAACATCCCAGCAGGGCCACCTGTTGTAGGACCTCAGGTTTCTGTCACACACCCTTGTCACCATAGGCTGTCAGCATTCTGGACTTTGAGGCCCGCTGACTGGACTGTCCCCTCTGCCTCTGTCCTTCTGCAGTACACCCTGGGAACCGAGGCTACCCTTTTTGGTCCCTCAGTCACCAGGCACAGTTGTCACTTTTTAGTCATTCCAGTCTTTGTGCCTTTCAGAACTGGCAGGATTTCAGACTCCAAAATGCCTTCAGGCTTATTGTGTGGTACTCAGGATTTCCTGTGCCTGCAACCATAGCTCTGAGGAGGGAACTCAGGGCCTCATGTGAAGGGAAAACACCCAGACACCAAATCCTTAGCACGAAGGACATTTATTTACCCACCCTGGAGGGACAAGCGGAGTGTGTGTGTGTGTGTGTGTGTGTGTGTGTGTGTGTGTGTGTGTCTTTGCCTCTGGTTCAGGGAAGGACAGCAGCAGGTATCTGCAGGAGTGGGTTTTATGGAAAGAAGGTAAAGTCCATGCTAGGGTGAGTTGCTAAGTTCTGATTGGACCTTGGAGTTTTAGTCAGGCATAAGGAAGTACCCAAAGGAGGGACTGGATCTTGGTGGCTAGCTTTAGGAATGGAATCTAAGGCTTTAGAAGGGGAAGGAAGGCAAGAGGCCAACACCTGCTAGCACATGTTTGCAATGCTAGGGCCTATTAGAGAGCTCTTCATTCCCACCTTTCTGTTTTATTATTGGATCGATCACTGGGTATTAGGTAAGTGAGTGTCATTTTTATGGCTACTTGTGGGGCCAGTGAGGAAAAGAGGTACGGAGACTGAGAGGCTCAAGAGTAAAGTATAAAGTTCAATAAGTTTTGGGTTGCGGTGCTGGAAGGAGCGGGGGGGGGGGGGCAGTGTTCCTGCTGACTTCAGGTGTTTTCTCAGCATCACCAGGAACTTGGAATGGTGGCCAAGTCTGGGAAAGGCTGTTGAACTTGCTGTCCAGGCTTTGTGGACCATCTGGGTCTAGCCTCCTTGGAGCTCTCTATAATGCAAATTCCAAGGGAACACTCAGAGCTGGGCAGCTGCTGCAAGGAGCTGCAGGTGATTTGAAATTGACCAAGGACAGAAGGGAAAGTTAAGAAGTTGGGGGAAATTTTAATCTTGGGTATACATTTTAAACTTCTAGGCCCATGGTCTCCAACCACCTAACACGACACAAGAGAGAAAAAAGGATAGAGGGAAAGAGCTCCCTGAATAAAGTCAGGGGTCAGAAAGGGGTCGATGTTATCATTAGACTACTTCCTGCTGATTAGGGAATTGAGTTCCTTAGGCCAAGTTTGATCTTTGCCATCAGGATACTAATTTCTTTTTGTTGTTTCTTCTTTGTGCACAACTACTTAACAAACCACAACCAACCCAGCTGAACTACCAACCCACCAACCCAACCTCTCAGGGCCCTAGCATTTATACACACTCTGAAAAGCCCCCAGATTTCCAAATATCAGTCAGTCGCAGAAACTATGTACAACTGACAAACAGCACACTTGTACTAGAGCAGGCGTTAAATCACAGTCAGCTGCTGTGGAACAGCCCCGAATTCCACATCTGTGATTAAAATGAAAACATATTCTTAGAATATTGCTGTTTTTGTTTTGTTTTGTTTTGTCTTTGTCTTTTTTCAAGACAGGGTTTCTCTGTGTTGCTCTGGCTGTCCTGGACTCACTCTGTAGACCAGTCTGGCCTTGAACTCAGAAATCTGCCTGCCTCTGCCTCCCCAGTGCTGGGATTAAAGTTGTGCACCACCCTCACCTGGCTATTGCTGTATTTAAAGAAACCAAAATTCTAAAATTGCAGCTACAGGAAAAGGGGGAAAGATACACTCTTAGAAACAGGCAGGTGGGAATCTTGAGCTTAGTTGATGACAGTTCTTATCTGGAGTCCATTTGACCCTTAAGACATGGATTCCAGTTGATGCCCTGAAGCTTACAGGAATTTTCTTATATACTTATTTTTATTTCATGTGAATTGTTGTTCTGCTAATACAAAGCTTTTTGGGATTCCAGGGAGTGAGATTGTGTCCAAATGGAGGTGGGGAAAAAAGGAGGGAGGAAGAGGTGAAGGACTGCTATTTGAGTAGAAGGCAAAAGCTACATCGATTTTGGAAAGGCTATCTCTTCTTAGTGAGGGAATAGAGTATGAGGGAATGAGGAGAAAGGAGTGGGGAAAGAGAAGCCTCAGAAGGAGCAAGTTAGGGGATGGGTTGGAGGGTCTGGGGGACTGGCCAAGTATTCCTACTATGGGTAATGGAGAGCAGTGAGCAAAGTCCCAGAATTTTCTCAGGACTTAAAAAGTGGCCCTAGTATCTAGGAGGAATGTGATGAGGTGACCTGACACAAAACATCAGAAGTCCAGAAGCTAGGCTTCTGGAGAGTGGGTGGTGTGGGTTCAGGCAGGTCAGTCAACATCATCAGAGATCTGAGAAGGATGACCCATAGCAGGTGGTAGAATCTGAATGGCCTATATATTGATTAAAGTGACAGAGATGTTTCCATTTCTAAACCGTTGCCCTTGGTTGCTGTGGTCTCCGTGACTGTGCCGTGTGGGACTTCAGCTATCATACAGGACAGCATTTAATCTTTAGCTGAGACTTTTCCTGTAGAGAAACTTGGGGAAAATGACCTTACTTTGATCAGGCAGAGTAGGGAAATCAACCCAAAAGTGTTCACTGATTAATCAGAGCCCTGGCAGTAGGGAAGGCATGGGGCAGTTCACCCAGTGGGTTAGCCTTACCACAATCCAGGTAGAGTCACCACGCTCCTTCTGTCTTCTTTGGAGACCTTAGGGTCCCCATTAGAAAGGGGGCATACCTAATTATGGGACATGGGACACTTCAACATTTCAAATGTCATATTCAGCAGATTTTTGAAGAGTTTGCAGACCATCTATCTATTATATAAGTTCAGGCTTAACCTTGAAAACACACAGGAGGCTCAATAAAGCTTGTCATTAAATGAATGACAGAGCTGAGAGTGAAAGCTTCAGGAATGCAGGCAGGAACTGAGACAAGAGAACAGGGTCACACAGTATCATAGAAGCCAGAAAAAGGAGAGATGGCTCAGTGGTTAAGAGCACTGTCTGCCCTTCCTAAAGTACCTGGGTTCAATTCCCAGCACCCACATGGCAGCTCACAACTGTCTGTTAATGCTGATTCCAAGCGCTCTGACTCCTTCACAGTAATGCATATAAAATGAAACCAAATAAATAATTTTTTATAAAAAGAAGCAAAAAAAAAAAAAAAAAGAAAAAAAAGAAAATAGTGGGAACAAGAAAAGGATCACAGAGG